GGTCGGAGAAGTCAAGTCCATTGTCCAGGACATTATTATATAGTTCCGGGATACATTTTAATTTGACAATAGAGGCGGGGAAGGCCAAATCAAGATGTTAATGACGGCGTAATTCCAAAGTACCTTAAGATTTTAAGGGATAAAAAATATTTAAAAAATTATTGTTTAATGTTTCTTTCGTTGGTCTGGAAGTGTATTAAATAACCAACAAAATGAGGTATCATTTATAAAAATCGGTTCACAACTTACCTAAAAGATGGGTTCGAGAACATTCTTGTTAAGCTGAAAGCTTCGTTTTTATTGAAATTTGTATGGAAATCCTGCTTTTTGACCAAGCAGTTATCCGTTTGGTTATAGTTTGGTCCATTTTTTAGGTAAGTTGTGAACCGATTTTTTTTAACGATATCTCATTTTGTTGGTTGTTTAATACACTTTCAGACCACAGAAGTTACATTAAACAATAATTTTTTAAATATTTGTTATCCTTTAAAATCTTAAGGTACTTTGGAATTATGCCGTCATTAACATCTTGAATTGGCCTTTCCCGCCTCTATTGTCATCTTAAAATGTATCCCGGAAGCTCATTATAATGTCCAGGACAATAGACTTGACTTCTCCGACCAATCCAGTGAATTTCCGAACAGTTTTCAGTTCGAAATTGAGTTTTCCAATCAACTGACGAAGTTTCACAGAAAATGGCTTTCCTTGGAGCCATTTAAACTTTTTTTTTCAGTGTAGTGATGGTTTCTTCTCTTAATTTCTACTACAAAGTAATCTCAATGCCAAAAACCCCAAGTTTGCAGCAAGTTCCATAAAAAATAACCATATTTAGCGAGTGTCCGATTATTCGTTGAACCTTAAAAATCGGATTTTTTGTTGTTTTTGTTGGAAAACTAAGTGTTTTCGTGGAATATATGTAATTTTTGTTTATGTTTTTGGAAGATATTAGCATTGTATATAAGTAAAAGCAAAAAAAACGACGAATTTAACCCATTTTATTCATTTTTTTTGCATGCTTATTTTATGAAAGTAGGTGTCCGATTATGCGATGGAGCCACTGTACATCGCATCAAATTAGTCATTTTTTAGACTAAAACAAGTAAACGCATTCATGACTGTGTCATTATATTTTCAAAGTCTTTTTATTGATCAAACATTTCTTTAGTGGAAATCATTTGAGCGTTTTGGGGGCTCATGAATCAAAGCTCGATAGTGGGATTGGGAGCGCACCTCCCACTCAGTCTTCCCACAACCGTCTGAAAAAGTCTCTGTGAGCCGGTTCCGAAGTGTCGTCATTATAAAAATGCGTTGGCTTGGCACCTTCCATGTACAAATATAGTCATAACGCCATACAAATCTGTTTGCAGCTGGCTCTGATTTCATGAAGCCAACTGTTTTTATTTTTGGTCTAAAAAGATGAAATTAACGCGGAAATTGTATCATATTTGGGATACATCTGGGCTATTCAGTAAACTTTATATTTAACCTAGTTAAAAGGCAAGATTCGCTCGATACATTAGTCATTTCTAGTAAATGACATCAGACATAACCTCAATAAAGGGCGCCGGTCTCTGCCGGTAAATGCCTTGCTACATATGTATGTATGTGTATATATACAATTTTAGTGCATTTCCTGTCATTGCAGTACATTCGTGTACATATTTTTAGGCCAGATGGCCGCCTCCTGCATTGCATTTTCTGCCTGCTTCTTTGGGTATTTCTGGAAACTCGATAGCAAATGCAGCTGCCTCTTCGGTCTGTTTCTTGAAAATACCGCATTGGGCGCAGGCAGAGAAGGCGGCTTATACAACACAACAACAATCCGGTTTGCCTAGGCATCAATTTCGTTTTAGGCAAATCAACCCCCATAAAAGGCCGGAACAAAGTACATACATATGTACGTATGAATGTAAGCTGTATGTACAAAAGCGGTCACTTGAATATCGCATAAAACACTCGTCATCAAATTCACAAGAAGACCCTGAACCACACCCATATCCTTTTTTCTTTAAATAAGGACATACAAATGTACAAATTACCTTACAAATACAAAAATATGTATGCATAAATATAAATTGAAATTATACATTATCTCCAATTTTGACTACTACATAAAAAATCTTGAAATAAATAGAATAAATTCAGTAACGTATGTAGCTAAAATAGTTATTTACTTGTGCTATTATTCTGACCCCCAGTATAAACAAGTAAATGTATGTATTATACCCCACATACATATCTACACTCACATTCGCAGTGGCATGTTTGTCGGCAGTTAAGAAATGAAGTCATCATTTTGCCGAGCTGGCAACGATTATGCTGGGGGATGACTCATCGCTGCTAGAGAATCGATACCAGAAAAGTGGAAAGCCAAATTGCATGCCACACTGCCTGGTACAGCCTGCACTTGCCACAAACAGCAGGCGGAAAGCGCAGCAGTGGCCCGAATCGGGGGAAAATAGAAAGCGCTAATTATAGACCAAGAGAGCGGCTGCTCTGCTTTCCCGCAACTAAAACTCCGTACAATGACCCCTCCTTTCACACTGGAACGGATGATCGCTGGGAAAGGAAACCAAAAAACCAAGGAAAAACGAACTGGAATTTTCTTTTTGCTGTCAACACTGTGTCGGGCCGATTTTATTCTTGTACACAACTTATCGCCGAGTTAGCTTGGCTTTTTTGCTATACGTGTCTTTGTGGATAAAATACTATCTGGTTCTTGTTACATCTTTTTGTCTTCGTACGCTTTACAGTGTTGCAGTGAATTTTTTGTTGCGATTGGAAGCGTAGACACTGATTTCGACGGTTGCCCCGCCCACCAATGACGCTCCCACCGAGCGTTGGAGCGGCGCTACGCTTAGTACTCCTCAGCACCCTCGCCCTCGCCGTCTCCGGAGTCCATGCCGACCTCCTCGTAGTCCTTCTCCAGGGCAGCCAGATCCTCGCGGGCCTCGGAGAACTCACCCTCCTCCATACCCTCACCCACGTACCAGTGGACGAAGGCACGCTTGGCGTACATCAGATCGAACTTGTGATCCAGACGGGCCCAGGCCTCGGCGATGGCCGTGGTGTTGGACAACATGCACACGGCACGCTGCACCTTGGCCAGATCTCCGCCAGGCACCACGGTGGGTGGCTGGTAGTTGATGCCGACCTTGAAGCCAGTGGGGCACCAGTCGACGAACTGGATGGTGCGCTTGGTCTTGATGGTGGCAATGGCGGCGTTCACGTCCTTGGGCACCACATCACCGCGGTACAGCATGCAGCAGGCCATGTACTTGCCGTGACGGGGATCGCACTTGACCATCTGGTTGGCCGGCTCGAAGCAGGCGTTGGTGATCTCGGCCACCGACAGCTGCTCGTGGTAGGCCTTCTCGGCGGAGATGACCGGGGCGTAGGTGACCAGAGGGAAGTGGATACGGGGGTAGGGCACCAAGTTGGTCTGGAACTCGGTCAGATCCACGTTCAGGGCACCATCGAATCGCAGAGAGGCGGTGATCGACGACACGATCTGGCCAATCAGACGGTTTAGGTTGGTGTACGTGGGACGCTCAATGTCCAGGTTGCGACGGCAGATATCGTAGATAGCCTCGTTGTCAACCATGAAGGCGCAGTCAGAGTGCTCCAGGGTGGTGTGCGTGGTCAGGATCGAGTTGTAGGGCTCGACGACCGCAGTGGAGACCTGGGGAGCCGGGTAGATGGCGAACTCCAGCTTGGACTTCTTGCCGTAGTCCACGGAGAGGCGCTCCATCAGCAGCGAGGTGAATCCAGAGCCAGTGCCTCCACCGAACGAGTGGAAGATGAGGAAGCCCTGCAGACCGGTGCACTGGTCGGCCAGCTTGCGGATCCTGTCCAGAACCAGATCGACGATCTCCTTGCCGATGGTGTAGTGGCCACGGGCGTAGTTGTTGGCCGCGTCCTCCTTGCCGGTGATGAGCTGCTCGGGGTGGAACAGCTGGCGGTAGGTTCCGGTACGGACCTCGTCCACCACAGTGGGCTCCAGATCGACGAACACGGCACGGGGCACGTGCTTGCCGGCTCCGGTCTCGCTGAAGAAGGTGTTGAACGAGTCATCACCTCCGCCCACGGTCTTGTCGGAGGGCATCTGACCGTCGGGCTGGATGCCGTGCTCCAGGCAGTACAGCTCCCAGCAGGCGTTTCCAATCTGGACACCAGCCTGGCCGACATGGATAGAGATACATTCACGCTGTGGGCGAGAGGAAGGGGAGGGAGATAATGGTTAGTTACACGCCCCAAGAAAATCGATTGTCGCAGAACCGCACCCAACTTGAGCCGGCCCTGTGCGCGAGTGAGATAGCTATATGGTATACAGAATTTTTTCGTTTTTGCTCTACTCTGCCGATGCCGGAATTTTACTTTGTCGCCATTTTCTCTTGGACTCTATAAAAACTACAGTTATGCGTCAGCCGCTCGATGTTTAAGCGAAAAATAATTGTTTTTCTTTTCATTTTTTAATTGACCGTGGTTTCCTCGGCTTGACAATTTCAGATTTTCACTTTGCTCCCCTTATTTTATGTCAATTTTGTATAGCTTTCCACGGCGTTTCTCTTTGCGAAAAAAACTGACGTCATCACTTTTAGAGAAAAAACATGCAAAGACCGGCCGCCATTTTGACGAAAAAACGAGACGCGTCGCCTTTGTAGCCCATTAAATTTTGCCCTCGTTACTTTCTACGCTTTTTTTCACTACAATGTACTCACCATATTGAGTTTTTAGTGGAGGTTTTTCACACGCGACAAGGAAAATTCACAGAAATGTGTAGAGCTACGATTTCGAGGTCTGACTCTGAGAGCGTATACGTTCGAATTGCCGGCTATGAGGCTTGACAAACGTAAAACGGATATGAAAACTCGGGCGCGGGCTGCTTTATATAGGCGTCGGAGCCAGGGCTGGCACGGAGCGATTAAGAGGCCGCAAAATCGATGGCTCGCGTAAGGGAGGCGACGGGAGCTGGTCACTCTGCTCTCTGGCCGAACTACCGCTGTCTCGAACCATGGAGGAGAACTTTGCTGGCCCTACCGGTTGGCATAACCGTTTGCGAACGGTCTCACTAACATCTGCGGAGGGTGACGCGGCTAAGCCCAGACCGTTTGTACCGTCCCTAATTGTTTTCGTCTTGCGGTCACACTTTGCGGCTGCGATTTACGTGTTTTCAGCGCTGTTTTTAACGCTAGCGAGCTTGTTGCCGTTAATCATTTGAAGCGGGAAAACCGGAAGCAGTTTCCCAGGCACAATGCGAGTCGAAGCCGGCGATTCTTTTTGGTTGGAGAAGGCTGCATCTTGCAGTGCAGAAAGGCAGTACTACGAGTCGCTTAATCGGCGGAGAACCAGTGTGAGTAAAAGCTGACCTTCACCGATTGCTGGCTATTTCACAAGAACCGTTAAAGTGGCGGGAACTTTTATTCGGGAGTACTTGAGCCTTCAGAGTTGATTTATTTATATTAAACCGGATCCGCGCAACAAATGCACATATATACTTATGCATATGTACCGCAATGTGATTTTGTTGGTCAGCCAAGCGCACGCACACCCACAAGCCCAAACAGCCGGCAAGCTTCGACGTAGGTGGCTACCCTACGAAAATCAGCTGGTTCGATAATTCGAATCAACATTTTTATTGGCAGCGCAGCCAAACAAAGGCGAGTTGCAGAAAGTTCACGTATTCCGTTCGCCTTTCAGCTGCCCGGCCCCGCCCCCCTAAAAGCGCCTGCCCCCGCGCCGACCATAACCGCCCCCAACATATCCGCCCCCTCAAAGAAGGCCAAGAAGAAAAACAAGACGATGGCCGAGAAGGAGCCGCCAAACAAACTGCTTTACGTGAGTACGGTGAATTGCGATTTCCGGCCTAAAACTGAGGTATTTTTGCAGATGAATCCGCTGACCATGGATGCCAACTTTTTCCTCGAGACCCTGAACTCGGTGAATCAGAAGGCCAATCCGCCGCAGCTGGATCCGCACCTGGCCAAGCTGCTGGAGCGCATTATGGTGGGCATCGAGAACTACATGGACAGGAATCCCACCTACGTCCTGCCCCAGGAGAAGGCCGCCCCGGGTGAGGGTGTGGCCTTTGTCCAGCCCAAGGAACTGCAGACCATCAAGCGCACATTCAACTGCACTGCCTGTAACAACCGCATCGTGGGCACCAGCATTGCCAAGGCGGTGGCCCACCTTTCGGAGCAGCATCCCAACCCCAATCCCAACAATCAGCCAGTCCAGCCACAGCAGGCTCACCAGTCCAAGCAGGAGAGGAAGGCAGCGGTGAAGGCCCGTCAGCAGATGACTGTGCAGTTGCCCAAGAGTAGGTCTATATTTCATTTAGAAAGGGTTTTAAATTCGTCCGACCTTTACCATAATATTAACGTTGAATGCGACAGAAGCCACTAAACACCTAGACCAAAACGGCATTGATAAACTGAACGGTTAGCCAACTTATTCATCTCTAAACATTCTGTATATTTCAGAGGCCAAGGCAATGATTGTGGGCGAGATCACGAATGTGTTCAAAGACAAATACCCCATAGCGGACAAGCTGAAGGTGATTCCCGAGTACGACATCATCGAACAGGACCTGTGCAATCTTCTAACTCCGGGCTTTCCCAAGCAACAGCTGCGCGTCTACAAGTTTGGCTCGCGCATTACTGGCATAGGGTCACGTTCCTCGGATCTGGATGTCTTTGTGGATATCGGCAACACCTTTCATACGTTCGAACACCGCGCTTCCAACACGACCATCAACAAACTGCGGGCGATGCGAAAGTTCTTCTGCGGCAGCGACGACTGGCGCATTATAAATGTAAGGAATGCACAAAAAACAAAGAGTTCCCTAATTAAAATCTGTAAATTCTTGCGCAGGTGATCGAGCAGGCCCGTGTTCCCATTATCAAGACTTGCCATTTGCCCACAGGCATCGAGTGCGATATTTGCCTGAACAGTTTGGGCTTCTGCAACACAAATCTGCTGAAATACATATTCGAATCACAGCCACTGAGTAAGCAGAATCGCTTGAGCAAAGTCCACGTTATCTCTTTGTGTTTGTTTTGTTGCAGCCCAATATATGTGCATATATGTTAAGAACTGGTTGGAGCGCTGCAAGCTGACGGAACAGATAACGACGTACAGCATTACGCTGATGGTCATCTACTTCTTGCAGCTTCAGCACCTGCTGCCACCCATAGGCGTGCTGCAAATGGAGGAGTCCGTCAATCAGGGCGTGCTCGTGGGGCGTAAGTTTATCAGTGTGCCTATTTTAGGGGAATTCACAAGATTTGTTTCTCATTACAGCGTGGGTTGTTAACTTCGCGCAGAAATCGCCTAGCGAGCTGGGACTGCAGCAAGTAAATGTGACTGTCCCCGTGGTAAAGGGCTATCTTCGGTCCTTCTTTGCGTACTTTGCCAACTTTGACTATGAGCACTTCTTGGTCTGCCCATATTTCGGTCAGCCTGATGCGGAAATACAAAAGTTTGAGAAGACACTGCCTATTAGGTAAAATTAATTATTTTGAAAAGGGAACCGTTTTTATGATAGTCTGTGCCCCCGTTTAGGTATTCAGCGTATGTGATGGAGAATCCTGAGTGCTCGCTCCAGCTACGAAAACCGATGGTCGTCCAGGATCCTATACAGCTCAACCACAATGTGACCAAAGCGGTGACCAAATATGGACTGCAAACGTTTGTGGACTACTGCCAGCAGACAGCTGAACTGCTGGACGAACCGTCTACCAATTGGCGCCAGCGCAGCTCTTAATCCCCCGATCATCCCTCCATCCAATCTCAAGCACTTCCGTCGCTGGTTTGATAGGTTTTTGCTTTGTGTGTGCGAGAGACCCATTCAGGTTTCGTCCGGCTGTAAATTTTAGACGTTTAGCACGTCTCGACAGTATACAATACACAAAGTATAAGTGACTTTTGTATATTTCACTAACAAGCGTTTAAATTGTATAATTGGTTTGGTTTCAATTGCATTAACACATAAGGTAGCGTCAAATGGCACACGTTCAAACGGACTACATCTGCCAGGACTCTGGCAACCGGTTGAACATCTTCAGCAGCATGTATATTGTGAAGCCCACGATTAGGAACAGGCCCAGGAAGCTGATGCGGTTGAGCCAGTGCTGCTTGGAGTCGCGCATCATGTTGTAAATGCCCATGGCCGAGTTTTCCGCCTCCTCCACGCTGCCGTTATTGTCGATGACGAAGTGAGACTTCTCGCACTTCTTGTCCAGCGGCATTTGCGAGTCGACGCGATGCCGCGCCTCGGACTCGGAGAGCTCATTGCGGGCTATTAATCGCTCCAGCTGCTTGTCAGAGTCGCTGGAATATGGAGATTAACAAAATGAGGATAATATTATAATATTATTAAAAGCTGAAACATATGTTCCCGAATGGAATCCACCCTACCACGACACACAAACGATCTTGTGTATAAAGTCCATCAGGACACCCGTCTCAAAGAGCAGCGGCAGGTCAAGGACGATCCACGCATGACCCGTGACCAGCAGCTTGCACACCTGCCAGAAGATCTTGCGGTGTATGGTCGGATGGGTGATCTTGTTCAGCTTTCCGCGCAGCTCCTTGTCCTCGAAGATCATCTTGCCAAGCACGGCGCGGTTAATCTCCTTGCTGGGCAGCAGGACTGCGTCCCCGAAGACCTCCCGAATCTGCCGCCAGCACGGCTGACCTGGTTCCACAACTGCGCGATTGAGTACGGACAATTAGCGGAAATGGTCGTTAATTACGGAGCACAAAGCGGATGTGCTCAACTTTTTGAACTCACTCTCCCTGGCGATTTTGTCGGCGTCGATGACTGGAATGCCCTGGCGTTCGAACACCTTGCTGATGGTGCTTTTTCCCGTGGCTATGCCACCAGTTACTGCCACAATAAACATTATTTTCGGAAGTTAAATCAGTTTGGGTAGGGTAGGAATGTTTTTTATCGTTATTCTTCGTTTTTTTTTTCAACTTTTTAGTGTGACCAAGCCATTTCCATCTAAAAATACCGTTGTTAAAATCACTAAAATCTATATGCACAGTGGGCGTTTAGGGTCAAAGCTGTTTTGAAATATTTGTGTTAACTTTGTAAATATACATATTTATTATTTAAGTCGTTAACTGGCAACAAAACTACAAAAATTTTGTACATACCGAGTCAAAAAATTATTATATTAACCGAATAAGCCATATAATTTCTTTCTTTACATGGAATCGGCTGCAATTTATTTAAGGGAAAACATGAAAATATCTTTAAAAAGCACACAAAACACATACAAATTGTGATGCTTTATGCTAATATTAATATTAAATGTTTCCCTTTTTTTAAAAATAAAAATCGTTCCATATACCCGATTCCGTTGTTTCAATTCCATAGGCTGCCTTTCGACGCTACCTTGACGCACATCGTTTTTCAATACTTTTTTCCGTATCCAAGATGGCGACTGTGTAATTTTTCGTGCGTCGTTTTGCAGAGTTTTGTGAAATTTCCACGCGCTCCTTTAACCGAACCCAACTCTCAACGCGACTTTCGGTAGCCAGCAGCTATCCATTCTTTCCATCCAACTCCAAAGATCTCCACACACGGCAGAAAAGCACGAAATTAACAAGATGGTGGACAAAATTGAAATGAGCCTCGACGACATCATCAAGTCAACTCGCTCGGCAAAAAAGCCGCAGGCCGCCCGCGGAGGACCAGGTGGAGCCAGGCGACCGGGTGGCCAGCAGCGTTTTGCGGCTGGAGCCCGTCGCGGTGGCGCCAATGCCAGCGGATCGCCCAGGAAGCCGGGAAGCACGCTCAAGGGCCCCCGAGGAGGAGTGGCTAGTGGCGCTATCCAGAAGGCAAAGTTCCCACGGGTAATTCAATGCGTTTCAATGGCCAAACGGAGCAGCCGCAGCAGAATATCCCTGTGTTCAGTTCACCAGGACAATATTGCCAAGCAAGTGCCTTGCGAGCCATGACCCACACACACGAGTACAACAGTAGAAGTAAAAGTACAAGGAAGCGAAGCAAAATAGAAATCAAAATCAAAATGGCCACCCTGCGCCGCCTTCCCACGGACGGAACAATTCTTCGAGCCCAAGCCAAGCCTCAAGTTCCCTTAACCCCGTTCTTACAGACTACCAAAATACGAATACGAAACCTGTGTCTTAACTTATTTTCCCTCTCGCCTCACGTTTTCCTCGTGAACCCTATCCAGTTAACAAGCATTTCTAGTGTCTCCGCTCGGTATGGCTGTCCTCTTGGGGCTAGGATACGATGCAACTGCTACTGCCACGGCTACTCCCGCCAAATACATATAGTTGATACGCCTCGCGTTCGATCCAACAACAGACATACCCATCTCCATCTACCTTCTACCTAATACTACCCTCTAGGGCGATGTGAACAGCGCTTGGAAGCACGATATGTACGACGGACCGAAGAGGGGAGCCGTCGGTGGAGGATCTGGGCCCACCCGCCTAATCGTCGGCAACCTGGACTACGGCGTCTCCAACACGGACATCAAGGAGCTCTTCAACGATTTCGGGCCGATGAAGAAGGCGGCGGTGCACTATGATCGTTCCGGTCGCTCGTTGGGTAAGTTTGGGGGCTTTTCTAGCTACCTGTCCTCTAGGAGACAAGTTGATTGTGTTTCATAAGTGTTACAAATACATGTGGTTGTAAATTTAAATCTTATGTAGGTTATAGGACATTATCATTATTACCTAACCAAAAAAACATAATGCAATTAATATAGGCCAGCGAAACGGAATAATTATGAAATAATAAATAAATAAAATATTTTGCACTTTCAATAGATCTTTTAAATTTGGACAAAACACTATTCAATGTTTTCCTTTTTCCTTTGCAGGCACCGCTGACGTAATATTCGAGCGTCGCGCCGATGCCATGAAGGCCATCAAGCAGTACCATGGCGTGCCCTTGGACGGACGCCCTATGACCATTCAGCTGGCCGTCTCAGACGTGGCCGCTTTGACCCGTCCCGTAGCCTCCACCGACGTCAAGCGTCGCGTGGGTGGCGGCGCATCAGCTCCATTCAAGCGTGGTGGTGCGTATCCGAATCTTTCATCAGGGACCGTGAATAATGCCCATATTCGTTCTTTTTTTTTACCTCAAACATCATTCATAAAAAACCATTCTAGATCATTTTTGGATCTATGCACTTCCACAAAGATTTTTAAATGCCTATTTATATCGATAACAGTCCGTTTCTAAATTTTAGTTTGGTTTTTAATTTTTGGTTTTACCAACTGGTTTTATCTTTGTAAATATATTTTTCTGGACAAAATTCTTCCTTGTCTTGACTGAGTCATCACCATCGTGACACTAAATTTATTGTTATGCCTTTTTGTTGCAAATATTTGTGTATTTACTCAAACTTTTGTTTTCATTAATCAGTATTATAAATGTAAAATATGTTAATAGTTCAGTTGAAAGATTTGTGCGAATGCTTGCAGACCAAAAAGCTCAGCTTTCAAACAATTGTTTCTGCAATGGAACCAAGAATGATTATGATTACGGTCCCTGACGGCAATCCCTTGTTCCAATCCTTACACTGCCATTCCGAACTGTTTTTTAGGTGGCCAAGCTGGTGGCGCTCCGCGTCGTGGCAGCTTCAAACGTCCCGTTGGAGGCAAACCGGCGGCAGGCGGCGGCCAGCGACGGGAGCGCAAGGCTCCACCCACTGCCGAGGAGCTGGACGCCGAACTGGACTCCTACATCAACGACATGAAGATCTAAATAGCCAATAGTCTGAATTAGTCTAACAAAGAATACAAGAAAAACACAATCCCTAGTCTTAAGCCTACCATATTGACACTCTTCGCATGGTAAAGAAACGCATCCGGATCGACAACGCCGCGCCAAGGAACTGTTTTAAATAGGATCACTTTGAGAAGTTCAAACATCAAGAATTATATCCCATTTGCGCATGTATCCATTTAATTGTTAATTATATCAATTTGGCGGCTGTTGGGATAAGTCGAGTAACTGAAATACATTTGATGCTGTATTTATTATAAATAGTAATACGCTTTAAAAAGTTCGACGATGAATTAATGGACACTTGTAATTCTAAACTGAAGTGTAATAAATACTAGAATTAATTTCGTGACCAAAACGAGTTGTCTTCACTGACTCACTAAGTTAGGAGTATTGTTTAGCTACTAGGCGGACTCTGAAGAATCTCCACCAACTTGCATAAATAAAAGACCGATAATTTATAATTAAATGTTTTATTTTTGAATAATACATCGATGGTTATAAAGGGATCTTCTTTTTGGACAAATTGTACAGACTATAAGTAGTTTCGATTGGACACTTTAAGTATTTAAGTACAAATGCTAAATTAGGCTTCGGTAGTAGGTGGTAGTTTAGCAAAGTCAATCCATATAATCCATGTTTGTGGGGCGGAATCACGAGTTACTTAATTTCAACAATTGCGTTAGACATGTTAAACTTTTTACTTAGACGATAGGACATATGTGAGAGGGATGAAAATGAAACGACGAAAGGAAGAACGAGTCGGAGTGCTGCTTTGCAAAGTATAATCGGAGTTTTCCTTCTCCGGCTGATCAGCAGGTTAATATAGGTAATGCGCCTCTAAATATGTGTGTATAAGTATGTTATAAGCGAGTTATATTTATAGGATTATGTTTTTATGTCGGTCTGAGGATGTGATGGTGAGTCATTAAATGCTTGGCAGCTGCTTCTGCTCCCGGGCACACTCCTCCCTCTACCAGAATCCGCCCGACGAGAATCCGCCAGGTGGGACTCGGCCCCGAGCCTCTCCGTTCGTGGCCGCTTGCTTGTTCGCCGGCTCCTTCGGCTGGCTGGGCGGGGCGGACTTGGATTCCTCCTTCTGGGTGGTCACCTCTTCGCGAATCTTCTCCACCACCTTGTTGGGATCGGTGGAGCCCATGCAGGCGTTGAGGTTCGAGGAGTTCTGTTGGTTGTACTTGGCTCGAGGAGCGGGAACGTTCACGTCAGGCTCCGAGAAGATGTTGGTGTGTCCGCCTCCCGGGGGCTTCAGCACGCGGCTGGAGGGACGGGCGCTGGAGGTAAGGCCAATTTTCAGCTCGGTGGATGTCATTTTGTCGCTGCTGGTTGTGGTTTCAGTGGCTGCAATGCATAACAATGAAAAGTGAATCAGATGCGGTCGGAAATACGAGTACCCTAGAATACAAATTCAGTCTCGCCACTTGCGGATGTGACGCCCGTCATCCGACATCGCCCCACTGGGGAAACTCTTTGTGGAGTGGAGTGAAAATGAGACCTTTCGTTCTGCCCTTCTGCCCCCTCTCAATAGTTTCTCTACACACAGAAATTCATCGCTTTCCTCTATCTGTTTTTGCTGCTTGCGTTCTCTTTAACTTTTTAACTTTGCCGTTAACTGTAATTGCGCGTTTTGTGGCTGTCGTTGTTGTTTTTGGCGTTGTTCATTTCTCCGTTTTGGTGTCAAGTATTCGCACAGTGGGCTTGAAATCTACTTTTTTAGGGAAAAAATCTAGTGTTAACTATAGTTTGATCACCACAAAAATGGATGATTATGTGAATATGCCTAATTATGAGTTATTTGTTAGTAAATTGATTAGGGCCACTTAAAGCATTTTATTGATTTGCTTACAGTAAAATGAGTTTCCTATTCATAATTACTAATTATTGCAAAAGTAATTTAAAGCAAATGCTATTAGATGTTAATTTAATTAATGGCCCAATCTTTAAAGGCCGTTGTCGTTTGACTAATAATAGTGATTTAGCATCCATCTCAAATCGTTTTATGGTGTATTTTCCCAATTATTCCTATCCAACATAAGAGATTTTCTGAATTTTTTCTAGCATATTTATAACTTTCTCACTGTGACTGTGTAGTGTTTTCCATCTATTTATGCTTCGCTCATGGCGAAAAAGAGGTCGCCGAACAGGCGATGACATCTGCAGCAAGTGCTGTAAAGCATTTGTAATGATGCGTCATCC